TTTTTATTTAGCCTAATGAAAGTATGTGATACTTGCATGTTCATGCTGGGTGATATGCATAATACCATATGATATTTTAATGGAGGGCTATGCTCCTGTATTTCTGTTAAGTATTTGAAGAAAGAGTTTAAGAAATTTACCCTATTGGCATACCCCAGCACCTGCTGGTGGTATTGCACAGTTGCATGTTTTCTGGTGCCTTCCTCTCCTGGTTTTTCATCCTCACATCTCCCAGATGTTTCCTGACACCTCTGCTCATCTATCTCAAACTCTGATTTCATGTTCTATCACCCCTTTCCAAACTTAGATTTGGCAACCCTCCTACTCCACCCTTTCCCTCAGGTGCAATCAACTTTATGCCTCAACTGCCTATGGAAAGGTACCTTTTAGCTCATGTAAGTACACAGGTATTCAAGGTAGGAATGGTCATGGAACATGACCTCTAATAACATGAGTATCAGAGTATGGAAGGCTGAAAGCTTACATAGGCAGCAGATTTTGAGGTCTTCTATGAGTTTTGAAGGTGGACTGAAATGTTTATCGTACCATTTGAGATTAAAGACTCACTTTAGTAGGTCTTTAGTTAAAGAAAGCTAAGAAAACACGAATGTGCTTTGTTGAAATATATATTACATTATGATCTGAAGTAATTTGTGCGGTGTGAAGCTGTGAGCTAGCTCCAGACAGTATGAAGTGATTTTGCTTATGCACATGGCTAATGTTGGAATTTTTTGCTTTCGGAATAATTCTTAACATATGCAGACCTTGAAGTATTGGAGCCGTAGTAAAGCCTGTTTTTAAAACTGTTACCTGTTTGTGCTTGCAGTTCTGCAGTCTTTTGCATTACAATTTCTTAAGTACATATTCCAATTTCTTGCAGAAACTTCTTTGTTTACAAGTTTTTGTGTTTCTTGTAAAGTTCTAGAGGATTTTCCAAGTAGTGACCCTTTTCATGTACTAAGGATAGAGAAGAGACAAAAGCCCCTCTCTCCTTCCTCACTCTTTGGTTTACATACTTGCATCCAGTTAGAGCAGACGAAGTATAGAGGAGAAGTCAGCAGCTGGTAGAGGAAATGTGTTGAAGCAACAAATTCTCAGAGAGCATCAGGCTGAATCTACTACTCAAGATTTCCTCCCGGTCTTTTCTTCTGTTTTGGAAGTGTTGTCACCCTGGGGAAACAAGTAGGCTATTTTTGCAGTGCGGTTGGATCCTTAGGGATCTGGGTAACTTTTCTATAGAGAAACTTTTTCTTCTCATGGGATACAGTATTCAGGGCTGAGGAAGCTGTGACTGTGCAGTATGCTCTGCCTGCCAGTAAGGTAGCTGGTTATCGTTCCTTGCAAATGGCAAGCCGGAACTTAGAACTGTTTTCACTGTCCTCAACTCTATTGAACCTCTAACATTTGTCCCAAGGTTCAGGTTTTGGTGGCCTATTCAATGCCTTCAGGACTGACACCAAAACCAAAACTCAGCAGTGCCACAGGTATAGATGTAGTCAGAAGTAGAACGTATGTGCAAAGTTATAACAGGCAGCAAGTACTTGAGCTTCAGCTAATACAGGAAATACCATGCTTCCAACTTAGAAGAAGAAATATGCCTTTGTTTTCTACTTTCTGAAGGACAGTTCAGGGTTCTAGTCAGCCAGCAGGATGGTTGAGAGAGTAGCAAAATACATTCTTTCTTAAGCTTTTCCTCTCTCAAATGCTTTGATCCCACTTTTCAAATGGTGTAGTTACTGTGTCATATCTCCTTCCATCACTTCTCTCTTTCATGTTTCTGGTCTAGTAGGTTGGGGTTTTTTTGCTGTTGTCAAAGCATGGCAGTAGGGTAGAGAAGGGAAACAGTAATGTTTTGATTTCTCCTTGGGAGAACAAATGTGATTCCTTTCCTGTATAGGTTGATGATGTTGCCACTGACTGTTACAAGGAACGATTTGTTCCTGGCTGTCCTTTGACAAGGGAGAAAAATACCTATTGTTTTCCTGGCAGGCCCAGGAGTGTAGTTTGACAGTAGTGGCCATAACAAACAAAAAAGCAATTGTTGCTGTTAATGCCCACACGTTTACAGGTTGTAATTTAAAATTAGATTTAAAAAAACTATGTCTGTTGTTGATGTAATTAGATACCTAAATTGTTACTTGGTTTACCTAACTCTGTAAAAGAAGTTCTTGCTCATGTAGATGGCTGAAGTTTGTTGGTGTAAATTTATCAGTATGTTTTCTTGACTGTGCCACTGGAAGATAGGCCAGCTTTATGCTCCCATCAGTGTGATGCTGTAGAAAAAACTCTAGAGTAAAAAGGTCCATTTTTTTACACATTTATTTTTAAAATAAGTGTTCAGTGTAAAATAAAAGCCCCAAACAAACCAACAACCCCCCCCCCCCCCCGAAATGCCATTTCACTATAGCATTTTTTGGATTTGTAGGTAGTTATGCATATTTGCACAGTTAAAATTGTCCATCAGTGTAGCTGAAGAGAGCATCTATATTGTATAGCATGTATATGTTTAATGCTACAGAGATATTTTTAAAAGATTGAACTGTAAAATTTCAGACTCTTTACTAGTCTTCAGTGAAAAAAAATTATTAGAAAACCCCAACAATACCAGATTTCTATTACTATAGCAAGTAACATTTTCCTGAAATGCTTGTATTCCAAATGTTGCATCTGTTATGTTGTTTTCTATTTCCTGTACAGTGTGTATGAACTGTGTGTTTAGAAAAACTTGATTGACCCAGGGGAAAAAAAATCTGGGAAGAAAGCAATCCAAACAAGTGTTCAAAAATTTTATTTTTAGTTTTAAATTTTCAGTGAAATATCTGTGGATTTTGTACTGACATAGAGATGCTCCTGAATTCTCGTAGCATGAGAATTTGAAATCCTCATGCTAGAGAGCATCAGTAATGGAATGAAATTCTGGTTCCATATAAACAAAATTGAAAATTCCCATTGGTTTCTGGGAGGCCGGAATTCTTTTTGCCTTTTAACAGAAAGCTTCCTTTGACTTACTGTGTATGTCAAGGGGGAACACATTGTACTGTATCATTCACAATTTAGTAAGGGTAGTAAAATGGGTATGTGTATTTAAACAGCTGGTTGCAAACAAAAAAAGTGTCATTACATAACATTTGGCTTAAACTGTTCTTGTTTTAATGGCTTCATATCTGGCTGTGGGAAACAAAGTGTTTTCAATACACTGGAAATACTTCACAGATGCATTTTTTTGAGAAATGTTACTGTTCTGTTTGTGTCTTTCTTTGTCCTTGTAAAAGTTATTTGATGAAGGGATGACTCAGCTGATTATTAATTGTTTTCTGTTTGCAGGTTGCAAAACAGCAATGTCACAGAACTGACCACATTCATCACAGTAAGTAAGCTGTAGCAATAAGCATTCTGGTAATTTTCTGAGAAGCATGAATCATATAGGGAAAAGGAAAATGTTGTGTACTGTATGGCTTAGTGCTAAATTCTGCATCCAGGTCCTGATTTCAGCAAGACATTAAGCACAGGCTTAACTAAAACTTTCAGATTCTTGGTCCAGATGTGCAATTCCTTTTGTGACCTCAGGCTTAACTATTGAGTAGGTATTTAGCAATTAATGTCCATGATAACACTGTTATCATTCTTTCTGGATTTCTTTGTATGTAGGCTTGAAATATAAATATGATAGAATGTAATTTTAGTGTGTTGCGCACACTTTCAGTATACCTTTAGTACTATTGATGTCTGACATTATACAGTTTAGGGAATATTTAAAATTAATTGAGAGATTGTGCTTAGAGTTTTGATTCCAAAGTCAATTTTAGCAACTTTGAGAAGTATTTTGAATAGTCAGAGAATGTGTGATATTTTGCTAAATGATGAGCATGAATGATCTTGTTTTATTAATAGTCATTATCTATTAATAAAATAATAGATAATTATTTTATCTATTTTATCTAATTATTAGACTATTAGGAAATGAAGAATTTTGCATTCACATCAATTTTTGCATTTTTTTTTTCAGGATAACTAAAGAAAAAAAAGTATTTGTGTCTTATTCCACTACTTTGCTTTAGGCAAAGTTAACAGTGAAAACTAAAATAGATAGAGATTCAACCAGAAAGTCTGACTGGCTTTGCTTAGCTCACAGATGCAACTTTCAGGCATACTTTTTAACTTTTATTGTACTTACTGTCTGTCAGGTACATAAAGTAAGAGAGGAAAATCTGAAATAGATTTGAAATGATTTTTCAAGTTTATTATTTTGGTGCTTCTCATATTAACCATCAATTCTTCATACCCTGAAAATAGCAAATAACGTACTTAAATTTGTAAAGACATATTGTAAGTTTATGTCTAGTAATGAGATATGTTGGTTAACTAGGGCCTTGTTTAGATCCCAGACACGATATTGTGTCATACAGTGTAGTCTTATGTTTCAGTAGCGACCTTCATGCCCTCATCCCAGAGGTAACTTTACAATCAGTAAAGATAAAATTTGCACTGACAATACGGGAAAAAAAAAAGGCTAAATCAGTCATTTTTGCATGCTGATTAAAATAATTCTTAAGATTAAATTTAAAAGGCTCAGGTTTCATAAGTACTTCAAGTGTACAGTTGCATGCTTTCTGTACAGTGTGGAAAGAGAAGCTATTAAAACCACTACGTGTGACTACTACTGAGTACTACAGTATTTACATGAATGGTAAGAGCACCAACATCTGCTGAATTCAAAGAACGAATAGGTTCATGTGGAGAGAGCAGATCTATTAAATAGGAGGGATCAAGTGAATTAAAGGTCAAAAGAACAAGCTTTCTAGTGAACACATTGCTTAGCAGGCAGTGATATGAGAGCAGGTAAGGACAGGAGGTAAGATAGCCTGCTGTTTTGAAGTGAGGAGCAGCAATGTGAACCAATTAAAAAAAAGGCACAACTAGGAAGGTCATTAAGTAATTTGCAAGAATAGGTAAAAATAGGAAGACTGTATCTAGGATTTAGAGTTTACTGCAGGCATCAGACACTGTGAAACTTTCTGTAATACATTAGTATAGTGCCAGCTTCTGTAAGGTGAGCCAGTTTTAATGGAAAAGCTGTCTTTTCATAAAAGCTGAACTCTGTTGTTTTTTTGTTAATGAAGTATTGTTTTTTTTCTGGGACGTATTGAAACTGAAAGATTGCTACCTTCCCAGCCTCCCTGTGTCTGAAGGAAGGCATTGAAACTTTCTAGAAGAAATTTCCAGTTTTGCAGGGGGTAGGGGGTATAGTATCTAATTAGTTTTAAACATTACCCATATCTTGGGCTTTAAAAAACTAAACCTGCTAACTTTCTGACTTGTGAAATCTTGTTTTTTTTTTTAAAAAAAAAAATTAGTCCTTTTCCTTGGGAAGGAGAAGCAATCCCATTGAGAATATGGGTACATAGAAAGATGAAAACAACCGTTGCTCGAGTTGAAAATTTCTCTTTGACTTTTCTGAACACTCAAGTGTTATGAGGGCTCCTTCCTCCTTAATGTTTTGGGAGTTATTACCCCCAACAAGTCTAGATCCTACTTTGAGGAGTAGTTTTCCCTAAACCTACAACCACGGAATGAGAGCTGCTAGCTGGCTGCAGCTGACCTCTGTTACTGTGTGGAACAATCAGGATGAATACTGAATAAAAAAGTGCCTTACTCAGTAGAATGAGAAAAATGCTCCATAAATGCTCAAGTTGACATGCATAACTTTTTCTCCCTTTAAATATGCAATTGGAGAAGAACAGGAGGAATTTATAGAAAGATTTGTGCTTTCTGATTGGTTTTCCTGTAGGCCTTAAATGCAAGGGAAATAATAGCCAGGTGTAGATCTCTTTCTCTCAGCAAGCTTATTTTTAAGGGCTGATTGTTTGTACTAACTCAATGTACTGGTTTACTCTGCTTGTGTGTTTATGGCCAACTATAAGTTACTTAATCCTTTTGTGAGGGATGAAAAATGTCAAATCTCTGAAAAAGAAGAAAAAACATATCCTTAGTCATCTCTAACATTTTTGTGGGTACAGTCAATTCTTTAGCCTACAGAACATACTTTCTTTGTTATGAAGCAATAACAACCCTTCCATCCAAACAAAGAAATGGCACCTCAGTATGCATTCAGTTGTAACAAATAGGTTGCTCAAGGGAGAGCTTGGAAAGATTAGGACAAGTGGCAAGTAATAATTTCTTGTACTTTGTGAGTTGTAGGTTGTTTGGGTTTTTTTCTGTTTGTTTGTTTTTCTGTTAAAGTCATGCCATTTGAGATAAGAGTTTCTTGAGGATACTAATTTCTACTCCCAAAATACAAAATTCTTTTCATCCCTAATGATGGCTCTTTGTGGCGGTGGGGAATTCTAACAGTATCACTTCACCCGTGGAAACAAATAATGTAGAATGTTGACACAGTACTTGAAAGTTATGCAGATAATACTTTCTAAAAATTTTCTATGTGGTTGTAACTGAACAATTTGTTAATGGCTATAATTAAACAAGTGATATAAAATAAAAGATCAGCTGAGCAGAAGGCTGAACAAAATTTTCTAGAGAGTTAAGATAAAGTTAAGAAGAGAGGCCTCAGAATTTGACCAAAATTGTGATGACAAGTTACGTTTATGAGAGATGTTGCCATTACTGGAATACTAGAGTTGATGAATACTGCGGTTAGCAGAAGAATCTTTGTAGGTGAGATCTGCACTTAAGTTTTTTCCTTTTTGGGGCGGGGGGGGGAGGGTGGAGGAGAAAGAAAAATCTTGAGCAAAGAAGAGGAAGTTGTTAAAGGATTCGTAAATCATGCTTTCTACAGAAAGTAGAAGTAAGGATTTGACAGGTTTTGAAAAATACCCAGTTTCTTTTCACAGTAACAAAGTATGCATTGGCCTACTTTGAATTGGTGACTAGGAGTGTGAAGGTGAACAACAAAAAATGAGTTGTTTTGCTGTCAGACCCAGGAAAGATTTTGTATATTTGAATTGCTGCTTCTAAAATATAGAAGCAAATAGCCAAGAAAAGCACTTCCCTTACATGAAACTTAAGTGTGTGTAAATAGTAGCCTGCTTGCTGTGTTTTTATTTCGTTTGCAGGCTTGCAGAAATGAAAGTTAGGCAAACATCTTGCCTTTTTTTTTTTTTTTTTAAAAACCATGTGCTTTATCACTTGTCAGCTGCTGTGTTTCAGAACAAAAGAAATTGCACAAAAAATGTGATTGAACTGTAAGTGAAATTTGGTAAGTCTGGGAACTGGCAACTAATGAGAAACTATTGATAACAAATTGAAACCCACTATATGGAGAGGTAAGGGGGAAGAAGGAAGAAAAATTTGGTGAACTCAGATTAACAAAAATAGTTCTGTGCTTTTATGGCAATTTGTGAGTGTGTCATTAGCTCCCTCCCCACAACTGTTCCCATTCTTCTTGTCAGAAGTTAGCTTAAACATCTGGATACATAGCTGTATTTGCCTTTTTTCATCACGTAAATACTCAAAAGGATTCATGTGAAGGTGTATTTGGTTATGGAAAATGAATCTTTGTTTTCATATTCCCCCAAAACAATTCTGGGGCCTATAGTACAAGAAAGACATGGACCTATTGGAGCGGGTCCAGAGGAGGCCACAACAACGGTCAGAGGGCTGGAATATACCTCTCCTGCGAAAAAAGGCTGAGAGAGTTGGCGTGTTTCAGCCTGGAGAAGAGGAGGCTCCGGGGGAGACCTGATTGCAGCCTTTCAATATGTAAAGGGGGATCATAAGAAAGATGCAGGGAGACTTTTTACTAGGGCCTGCAGTGACAGGACAAGAGGCAATGGTTTTAAACTGAAAGAGGGTAGGTTTAGATTGGACGTAGAGAAGAAATTTTTTTTTTACTGTGGTGGTGGTGAGACACTGCAACAGGATTGCACAGAGAAGTTGTGGATGCCCCGTCCCTGGAGGTTTTCAACATCAGGTTGGATGGGGCTTTGAGCAACCTGACCTGGTGAAAGATGTCTCTGCCTATAGGAGGGGGATTGGACTAGATGATCTTTGAAGGTCCCCTCCAAATGGAACCATTCTGTCATTCTATGAAAACATGCTGTTCATTGCTTGTAGTAGTAGTATTTGAAAAGTAGCAGTTTGGTTTTTTGACAGTGTAGGTGGATGTACATTTGGCAAGCTCAGAAAAAATATAAAAGCTTCCAAAACAGCCCATTCCCCAAAGAACGTGATTTACTTCCTTCATACATGTATAACACCTGCAGATTTAATTATATCTTCACTTCAGTATAATAACAACAATTAACATTGACTAAGAAACTAAAAATGATACAATTTTAAGTTTTATGTGCTTACAGTAATTATACAGAGTGTAAATAAAAGGCAGAAGGCAATTCCACCTTTTTTCTACTT